TCCGGCTCCAAGGAAACTGTCGTACGATTCACAGCTTGGGGCATAACGAACTTCTACCGGCCGTGTACGTTGGTTTCTGATATACTGTAACTTGCTATCATGTGGGCTGCTAGCATTGGTCTTACAGACTTGGGGAGTGTCTTGTAAGCTGCCATTGACTCTCTCCTCCCTGTTCCACCTTTCCTTCCGCCTTAAGCTTCTCCAAAATCTGAACTACTCCTCCGCAGGCGGCAGGGTGGAGATCCTCCCTGACATCAGCGTAAACGACTTTGACTATTTCCATCGCAGTCCAAGCAAGACCTCCCTTATCCTTCTGTGTGCGAAGGGTCCGTATGACCTGCTCCTCTCTCTGTTTTCTATGCCCGACATACTCGACAATTTTCGAAAGGCCGTCCTCCAGCACGGGTCCATGGCCGGGATATGCCCTCCCCTTTGTTTTGAAGATACTCCGCATCTTGTCCAAGCTTGAAAGATACACTCCCAAATTCTCAAACACAGCCGTGCCCTGGCCAAGCACGTTGTCCGCCGTGAACATGGACCCTTCCTCGGCCAGCCAGAACGTCATGTGGTCCGTGGTGTGGCCCGGTGTATGCGAAGCCGTCAAGGTGGCACCTTCTGTCTCAAAAATTTGGCCATCCTCAATGGCCAACTGGTCTTTGCCCGGTTCATTCTTATAGATGCGAACCCCCGGTGAGAGACCCCGGAGGTCTTCAATCCCGTTGGTATGATCATAGTGCCAGTGAGAGATCAGGGCACTCTCAACAGTCGCGTTCTCTTTCTCGAGTGTCACCTTGAGGTCGTCCAGCCAGGCCCGACGGCCCTCGCCGGTGTCAATAAGGATGCGGCGGCGACCAGTGCCCACAAGATAGGTGTTTGTGCCTTGTAATGTAAATTTGCCCGGATTTCCCCCCAAGATGCGGATGACTCTGGGGCTGAGACGTTCAATCGCCGGTAAGGCGACTAGTTGAGCGGCCATGATCTCTTGGCTGTCTTGAATACGGTTACACTGGGATATTTCCCGATCAGATTGAATCTTCCGGTCCACAACAAAAAGGTAGTCACTTTCAGGCGAAGGCCTTGTGAACCGAGGACATTAGTGATCGGGTTGTGGTGATTGGAAGGCTCGACAGTATGTGGGGAGAAGGTAATCGAGAAGCTGCGTGAAACATGTATGTGATTTTCTTCAGTGGACCAGACCGCGCTCGAACATTTATCAAGGGACGTTGATCAAGGATGACGTTTGGAGGCCGTGACACACGGGGAGGAGAAGACGATGTCGCAATGCCTCGGCTTTTGGAGAATGATGCTACTCCTCATCCCCATTGTCGCTGCTAGGCGTCAGCCGTAAACGGAGGGACAATTACTACTATTTGGTACACGGCGAGTGCCACCAGACAAATGGTACCAGCTTCTGGAAAGTACAGGGGCCAAAATATGTCCAGCCAGATTTGTCTCTCAGAGTGGTACTGTTCCGCCTGCCCTGAGTATTCCTCTACTTGGAAATTAACACCTGATGGATATTTCATCAATGAATCCATCAGTGTACTTCCGAGGCTTGAATGCTTGGCGTCGCCTAAGACTCAGGGTGCACCTTCTCTGTCGGCTTACCTAAACACACACAAATCCACTGAGACGGGACCCTTTGCGCATTCCACGATAAGCTTTTTAGGGAGCGCAAAAGGTCAGATAAGAGCCTCTAGCGGCGGATGGGTCTTATCGCGTCCTTATCCGGGAGGCCAAACCAATTTATTGGCGATTAATTACGGTATTACTGACCTGCGAAATCGAGCATCACCAACACCGTCATCGCATCATTCCCTGCGACTCGCTCCCCGACCAGCCCTTGGTCTCACCTTCGCTTCACCTAGCCCAATTGCTCTACAGAGTCCGCCCCTTCGAGCTCACTTTTGGTTATTTTGCAAACTTCCATTGTCACTGCAGCTCTGTTTCGTTTCTTGCTCTTCTTTTTGTCCCTTTCCCGATTCGCGCTATTGTCTGTCTTGCCTGTTGCACTTTAACCCCCCCTCCCCCCAAGGTGAGCTGACCCAAGATCAACACAATCAATCCCACAGCTTGATTTACATGGTACAATCCGCAAACCGGTTTAAATTGATTTCTACAAGACAATAACCCTTCTCGGTTCGTCGGGATTTCATTGCCTTGACGCTTACCCAATCCAGTGCCAGTATTTACTAACAATGTCACGTTGATCGCAGTTCGACGCACGAGACCTGCCAAAGTGCCCAAACTTTCCTGCACTAGCTGGAGGAGATTCTACGGTGCTCTTGCCCTTTTACGATCCCTTTTAAACTCGGACAAAAGATTGCCAGACGGCGGGCACGACTTGAGACGGCGGACCAACACATCTACAGCCTACATCACCTTCATTCAGCGAGGCTCTAATCTTAACTCACCAAGCTACTTCCACGACATATCATATCAACACAGGCGCCTGTGTACATATTTCCCGAAGGGAAGCGGCGTCTTCTTTATACAATACAACTAATATCGGCGGAATCGAAATTAATAGACGGCCTCAAAAACCGCAATCATGGCTGCGCGACCCGTTACTCCGGCGTCACCTAAAAATGTTAAGGTCAAAACGCCAGCCCCGGGTACGCCCATGTACGGCTGCGGTATGCGGATTCCAGTCTACATCTTGGATAGCTCGATTTCATTTGCTGACCCAGCTGGTCTGCACTTCAGAGCATGTGCAGCGCCTGTTAACACAGGGCCAAGAAGTGATGAACAGCTCCATCTCACACTACAAAATGATCTTACGAGGCATCTTCGATACAATTCCCATCGTTCCGCAGACAACGAGCAAAGATGGTCGTCCCGTTACCTCAATAACCTCAAACTTCCTCTGCCTCCAGTGTCCGACCACCCTCGACGAGAACGAACGATTGAATCATGGCTCTAAGAAGCAACATAGATTCTGTGTGTTTTGCCTTTTATGGGACTCATTTTTCCTGTAGCTGAAAACTAACTAGGATTCTCTCTCTCCAGATGTCGACTCTCGGAGCGGTTCTCTATACTGCCAAATGTGCGACGACCTCGTCTGGGATCCAACTTTTGAGGATCTGCGTATTAGAAAGATGGGAACTGGTTCCTTCTCCGGTATGTTACTGAGCGGAGGCATCATTGCTTTCTTTTCGTTGTGCAACCATGAGCTAACTGGAGCCCTGCACTCACTCACAGGACGAAAACGAAAGCACGAGGATCTATTCAGTGAGAATGACCTACGGCTTATTACCACAAATACCACGACGGCCTCATGTAGGGCAAATGGCCTTCGAGGTATCTATAACGCAGGCGCAACTTGCTACCAAAATGTTGTGCTGCAGAGCTTCATCCACAATCCACTTCTTCGCAATTTTTACCTAGGCGATGGTCATCATGATTGCAGCACACAGAACTGCCTTAGCTGTGCAATGGACGACATGTTCCAGGATTTCTATGCCCATGAGACTACTAACGGTTTCACAGCAGCCAGTATCCTATCGGCGTTTTGGATCTCAGAGAAAAAGGCATTCGAAAATCTCGTGACCACAAAGGAGCAGGATGCTCATGAGTTCTTCCAGTTCCTTGCAGAGGAACTACATGAGCGCAACGGTGATGGGAAGAAGCCAGAAGATGGTAGTGAGCACAACTGTGACTGTGTTATTCATCAGACGTTCTATGGCAAAATGCAAACAGCCACTACCTGCCAAAACTGCTTGAGCACTTCCAATGCGGTGCAGTCATTCTTAGACTTGAGTTTGGGCCTTGATAACATGAACCAAAAGCGGAAGAAGAAGACTCAATTCCCACGGCCAATAAATCTCATGGATTGTTTAGATGAGGAGTACCTCAACTCAGACAAATGCGAATATCGCTGCCATGGCTGCAACTCAACCCAGCAGGCACGGCGACAAACCAGCATTAAGCGCCTCCCCAACGTCCTTTCTATTCAACTCAAGGTAAGGACTCTTGCTTTTCTATCCTCAACAACCCCTCGCTAACCCAGCGGTAAATAGCGGTTTGAGTTCAAACAGGGCGGACGTGATCGAGCCGCCTCAAAAATTGATGAGCACGTCCAATTCCCTCTACAACTCAATATGCTTCCCTACACCCATCAATCCCGCACTCGTGAAGGCAAGGAGAACAAAGAACTAGAGCGATCGTGCATCTATGACCTACTGAGTGTGGTCGTACATGTTGGAGAACTTGACACCGGCCATTACATGTCATACTGTCGGGTTGGGGAACAGGTAAGGATACACCCAAAGGACCAGGCCCCTTTTGAGGCACCTCGCTAATATATTCCCGTGGCAGTGGTTTCGATTTAATGACCACAAAGTCGAGATGGCCACCATATCTGATGTGCTTGGTGCCAAAGCATACATCCTCTTCTACATCATTCGAACGATCAGTTGATTCTCAGCAACCAACTCGGCTGCCAATATAGTCACGGACGGCGGCCAGCACCACCCACAACATTTCAAGGCAAGGAGACCTAGGAATGACGGACTAGATGCTTGCCTCGACGGGTGAAACAAATAGCGTCGCTCGAAAAAGAATAATTACTTTCCGCGTTCTTAACTCATATACTTACTCTGTATACGCGCCCAGCGAATATGACTAAAACAGCCAGATAGTAGCTCACGAAAACAAGAGCACGGCTGGATAGCGGCCAATTACAAAATCAATCTAACGAACAAAAAATTCAATCATCATGGGGCCAATTGGATCGTATCCTTGCTAAAACGTAAAACTTGCTTGAACCATCTCGAGTGTAAGACATAACCCGGCTTTTTACCCAACGTGTATTGTGACACGGTTTTTTTTTATTCGCACCCCCAGGAGAGCCCTTGGCATTCTACGGGATAAAGAAAAGGGAAAATGAAAGGACTGTACAATTGCCTCTGAACACGCAGATTCTAATCTATGCGGCTCAATATACACGCCGACTCGCCCGATTGGTGAGCAAGAACCAAACCTCTTTCCATCCCACCCGTTTACAGCTCATCAAGAACGTGGATATACTTCTTGTCTTCTCTCTTCTCCTTCTCCGTTGCGGGTGGCAGGTCGTAGTAGTTCTGGCTACGGTAGCCTTGCTGTTTGGGGTATCAGTATGAGAATAAGAGAATGAGAGTTCCGATGGGGTTTACCAGGTAATGGTACGTGAAGTTAGCAATGTCGCCGGGCTCAATACCGAGATCCTTAAAGGTCTTGGCCTCCGGGTCGATTTGCTGATCCAGGAACTCACGCTCCACCTCGTCGGCAGTGATGGTTCTGAAGTAGAGGAACTGGTTGAGCAGCTTGGCGATGGGTTTCAGAACAGCCTTGGGAACGTTGATGTGGCGGCGCTGCTTGTAGATTTCCTTGTCAACCATGGCAGCAATCTCACCCATGCTGTACTGCTTGGGGCCGTAGAGCTCGAAGGTCTGTCCAGCGGTTGAATCATCATAGAGGATCTTTTCCAAAGCAATACCAACATCAATGGACTGAAACATAAGTTAGCTAGTGATTGAGACAGTTGGGGAGCCGGGTCCTCCGAAACATACGTGAACTGGCCAGAATTGCTCCTGCAGGTGGTTTGAGGTGACAAGGTTGAGAGCGGAAGCAAGCTTCAGGAGAAGGTTGTCTTCAAAACCGAAGATTGGCGCAGGTCGAACGAGCGTGGTCTCTGGGAAGATGCTCCTGGCAATCTGCTCTCCTCGTCCCTATTAAAGAATTCAGCACACGTTCATTCCCACTAAGCGCCGCTCAGATATACCTTGGTGGCGAAGAACTCGCTGGGTGAATTGGGGTCGGCATTATGAGACGATACGTGGATGTAACGATCGACATCGTACTTGGCGACAGCCTCGACAATTCGCTCGGTACCCTCGACGTGGACGTCCTCCAGGGTGAAGTTCCTAGCCCGCTATTAGCCCAATCCATGCTCTTCGATGCCCAGTTAAAACTCACTTGGTGGGATAGTCTCGGCCAACCAAGTTATAAACGACGTCGGAGTGCCTCACGCTGGCTTCGATGGAGGGGGTATTTCGGAGGTCGTATTCCTAGTTGGTGTGAGCATCAGGCGCTCAGGCGCGGGATAAGACGGGGAGCAACGAACAATGAAGTTCACACGACCAAGATCACCGGTAACCTTGAGGTGACGCTTTGTCATTTCCTCGCGGAAAGGGACAATGACGGTGCACCCCTGGCGAGCTACATCCTCCATATCAGCCTCAATCCTCATATTCCTTCTTGAATTCGGCAGAACACACCCAGTCTATTGACAATGTATCGACCCAGTTGTCCGGTTGCGCCAAATACTGTCGCAGTGTGGCCTAGGAAGGGTGTCAGCGGCGTCATGGGAGAAGAAATCGCGATGTCGAACCTCCAAGCGAGTGTCTAGATGCATTGATACGTCAGCAATTGGGCCATTCCATCAATTGGTGAGAGAGCTGCCTACCGTCCACCCTCAGTTCGCAGAATGGGCTTGCCGGTCCGGGTAATGGTGATGTCGGACAGGAATCGCTTTCCCGCGACGCTGCGGGTTGCCTGGCAGGCTCTCCGCGTCGCAGTGAGAGAGGTAGCCATTCTTGTTTTACGGATTGAGCACAGCCAAGAACGGTGTCTGGTCCTCCCAATTGGGGTTCGTCGTGATGAATGGATCCTATCCTTGAAGCCGAGCTTCAACTTGGAATCTACAGATCACGTGATGCCCGTCTGCACCACTGAGCAACTCTCGATTGCCAATGGAGCTCCAGGCCCACCAAGCGTTGGCATCTCTCAGAAGTCTGGCATTAGGTAAGCAGAAATGTACAAGATACTTGGGTACGTACCATGTTTGGCGAAAATGTCCGTGCTCGGATCGAAGAGCAAGCTGCATCAGCACCAGGCTGCCTTGTGTGATGTACCTGCCTGTCCGTACCCTCTAATCGCGGCTGCAAGCTTCCATTTCGACGAATTGCCCAACGAACCAACAACCTCGACCGCAACACCGCTGACTTGTCTTCTCCGCCCCAGCATACAACTTCTCAGCTTGCTACCTTTCTGATTAGACCAAGAGGGGGAAGAATACAGACGGCAAAACCGCTGGCAACAGCTTCCAGCTAATACGGACTCCATCCCACCAAATCCCCAATCCAACCTCACAATGAACGTCGAAACTATCTCCGATTTCCTCGCCGATGAGCGATCAGAGGCTCCCGAGGAGCTCCAGCCCCTCATCCTCGACTTCGAGAACTTCTGGGAGCGCAAGCTCTGGCACCAGCTCACCGATGCCCTCGTTAAGTTCTTCAGCCACCCAGGCAGTGCTCCGCAGCGCCTATCCTTCTACAAGGTCTTCATCTTGAAGTTTGCCGATAAGATCAACCAACTCAAGTTAGTAGAGCTTGCGCTCAAGGCCGCCACTCAGTGCCAGAACGACGAGGAGCGCCTCACCTTCCTCCAGTCCGTCGTCAAGAAGGTGGATACCGAAGACTCACAAGATGCTTTCGTCTACGCATCCGTAGCTGTGTCCCGGGTTAAGCTGAGCTTGGGAGACCTAGATGGTGCCAGAAAGGACTTGGATGTATCGGAGAGGAAACTGGACTCGTTTGACTCGGTTGAGGCGATCGTGCATGCCGCCTTTTATGATGCTAGTGCAAGCTATTATCAGGTACGTCATTTCAATGCCCTTGTCTATCGAACGTACAATCTAGAAGCTAACCCATGATTCCCACGCAGCGTAAGATGGACTTTTCCAACTACTACCGCACAGCTCTGCTCTACCTCGCGTGCATCGACCTCGACTCCATCTCTGAGAGTGAACGCGGTAAGAGGGCGTACTTCCTCAGCGTGGCGGCGCTTGTCTCCAACAGCATCTACAACTTTGGCGAGCTGCTGCTGCACCCTATCCTTGATGTTCTCAAGGAAAACGACGACGTCTCGTGGCTACGCGACCTCCTTTTCGCCTTTAACCGGGGCGATTTGGCTGCCTTTGACGTACTGTCTGATCACATTTCTGACAACCGTCTCCTCGCCGAGCACTCTGATCACCTCCGCCAAAAGCTTTACCTTTCCGCTCTTACAGAGGCCATCTTCCGCCGGCCGCCCCATGACCGCACTATGTCTTTTGCCACAATTTCCCGAGAGACCAAGGTCCGCCCAACTGAGATTGAGCATCTCATCATGAAGGCTCTCAGCCTCGGACTGGTCCGTGGTACAATCGACCAGGTGGATGAGGTTGCTCACATCACATGGGTCCAGCCCAAGGTTTTGGACATGAAGCAGGTCGGTGCCCTGCGCCAGCGACTGCTTGACTGGGATTCGAGCGTCAACCAGCTCGGCAACTGGATTGAGGGAGCAGGAAAGGACGTCTGGGCAGCATAGAAATAGAATTTTATGTCATGGATAGGCCATACAGGCACAAAGCCGCACCAGAATCGGTGTGATGCGTGCTGGGCTGTACAAGTAAAGTAATGACGGGGAAAATAGACCCTCCCGCGTTTACGACACACAAGGAAAATTAAAAATAAACGAATCACGCTGAATACGAAATTCCCGATTGTGGTTGGATGTGCGCACACGGTGACCTGTTGATGTAATATTTTTTTCATCCAATTAACTACCTAGACTCTCACTACGAGTACATGAGCGCCATCTATGCGGCGGCAAACCCCAGAACGTTGACCGTCCCTACAGTCCAGGCCGGCCACCACACGCCCCAAATGGCGACGGGGGTGTACACTCCGAGGACGTTCCACCCGAAGCTGGCGTCCCTGAGCAGGTCTCCGACGTCAGCGCCGGCAGCCATCGCGGCCGTGTACGCGATGGTCGGGGGTGCAATGAGGCTCAGCAGAGCGGCGAATGCCCACCTCAGGGGCTGGGACTTGGTCGGCTGGACGAAGGACAAGGGGGTGGCGAGGAGGCCGATGATGAAGGAGAGGGAGAAGTTGAGCGTGGCCAACGTAGAGAGGGATAGGCCGAGGACGAGGAGGGAGAAGGACTTGGTGAGCTGGGATTGCTGCACGGTCGGCTTATAGAAGGATGTCAGGAGGTGGGAGACTATCAGGGGAAGCACGATGGAGATCCCAGAGAAGATGGCGAATGCATGGGGGAGGACCTAGAGATTCGGGAAGTTAGTCAAGACATGGGCTCGGAGGAAGGGCCGTTGAGTGTGAGATGTTTAAGACTTACATCGCCTGGCAGACGGTTGAAGATGAAGAGGGGGATCATGCCAAGAGCATGGCTCCCTGCGACGATGGCCGCGGGAAGAAGCATGTCTCTCTCTACGGTGTTGGATGTGTCGAGTGCGGTGGTCTTCTCCTTGGAGTTGTCGCCCTTGCTTTTGGGAGCTTGGCCGCTCTTCACCCACAGGAAGATTGCCATGATGGTGAAGTTGGCGGCCAACAGCATGGCACTTGGGAGATAGGTTCCAATGCTGACGAACCGATCTCTGCTCATCAGTAGATAGAAGAAGAAACTTTGGTGTAGATGCTCAAGCAGGTTATTCAAACTTCGGAACGATCCCTCAATGACGCGACCCATTGCCATCTCATCCTGGTGGCCCATTCCCCAGGGCTGCAAAGTGACGGCGTCGACGTGGTATGGGATGAAGGAGCTGTGAGCACCAGCGACATTGCCGAGTCCCTGGCTGAGCATACCGCGGAAGATGGTCCTGAGGCGGTCTTGGTATGAGTTTTGGTGGTCATACTGGCCCTGGATGAAGCTGGGGATGCCCATCTGGTTGCCGGCAATCCAGCCAACCGCATTGATGAGATCCAGGTTGGGCAGCTGGCCATTGACTCCATCGTAAATGATGTGCAGGGTTGAGAAATGATGGTCCGAGGGGTAGTCGATGGCCAAGGCGCCTTGCAAAGCTCCGGACTTGAGAGGCAGGGGAGACACGTGCCTCGGGTCATGAGCGTCGTGGTACGCATCAACCCAAGCCTGTGTCCCGACTTTTGGTTCCGGGGGGAAGAGAAGGATGATATCCTTGGACCATAGCGACCAACCTGGACGACGGGTTAGTCAATGGCTGAGAACTCCATAAGTAAGGAAATGAGGAGGGGTCGTCGGCCAGCTCACGTTTGAAATACCGGGCAAGCGTCAGCGAAAGAGCCACACCCACACGGTTCTCACTACCGTCAATAGTCTTCCAGGGACAGACGAGAACAATGGCCTCGGTTGCATCACCCCGAGGAGCTTGCAGGATACCATATACGTTCTCGCCCGAATGAGCCCCTCCAGCAGCGCCGTACGTGTAGCTCTGGCGGCCAACCTTGACACCGAAACCCTTGAGAATCTCCTCGATGTTGTTGTTTATCCTGCACCCTTTTGTCAGAGACAATCCGTGTGAATTGGGCAACCTAGGCATCTATCTGCCACTCACTCGTGGGTATCCTTGCCGCTGAGGGCTGCCACCTCTTCCTTGTAAGCGCGGAAGACATGCTGTTCGCTACCTCCAAAGTATGTGTGGACCTGGCCGGGGAGGAGAGCATTTTCGGATATGTAGGTTCTTCGGGAATATTCGTCGAGCGGGAGGACCAGGAGCCAGATGAGGCCGATGAGGATGCAGGCAAAGGACAGGTAAGGGGGGGCTTTGAGCATGCGAGGATCGCGACGCAGCGACAAGGCCGAGGCTACGTAGTAAAGAAACTGTCAGACCAAGAAAAAGGGAGATTGAAATATTCCGTAGTCAATTATATAGAAAAAACTCACAGAGTAACCGCGACATGTTGGCAGGGAGTGCGCCGCTGGGTTGCGTGTTGCTGGACCGTTCGTGCTGTGGTAGCTGTCAGACTCTGGGTAACGTAGCTGTTAATCTAAGCACTAATCTATCCGTGTTGGAGCGTGTTAATCAGGCTCCACCCTGAGAGCTGCCCCACCATATGACGATCTCAGCAAAGGATATCAACGTACATAGGCATTGTTGGCTATCAGCAATATCTGAGTATTCACAGTGATATGCAGAGGAAATAACAGATACCGGCACCAGGGAGATAAGCGATTGGTGTTTCTGCCAATACTCGGCAGTGTTTATATTCAATCCTCTGTCATCAAAGACAGCACAGAGCTATTACAGGAATACCGAGGTCTTCCTCGTATACCACAGACAGTATGCTTGCCTGTTCATTCCTCAATATTACATCCTCGGATATTGCCTGGATCCATAATCGATAAAAAGACTGGCGTCACATAAATCCTCGTCCTGAAAGCGGCAAGTACATAACCAGACCAGCACAACCTTCTACCCTCGTGGAAACCACTACCTGGCGTGGGTAGATAGCCAGATCGTAATTTTCGCCATGCCCTCGAAGTTAGCTGTGCGCCCAAAACTCCAAATCATATGCAAAAATCGACTTTGTCCCCGCCCCGGAATACAGCACTGCCGCTCACTCTATCGTACATGCTACCTGCGCTTCGTGAATCGCTTGCTGGTACGGAATTTGACATGGGTCATGGGGATCTACTGCAACGAGATGTTCATGGACCGAGGCGCTGGGTGCTTCCAACAAGCTCAGTTGCGGGGCTTCCGCCGGGGCGGCTGTTGGATGGCAACACACCAAACCGGCCATAGGTCTTCTGGTCAACGCTCACATAGTGTGGCAAGA